CATTGTAATTATTACTTCTTTAAAGAAAAGTAGCACATCTGCTGATTAATTAATAATAACGGATGGCGTAGGTATTGCCACCCGTCTACTTCAGATAACGCACGCGTTTTATTACAATGGTAGATTTCAATTGGTTTAGTTATTTGTGTGTTTGGAATTTTTGTAATAAATGTGTTTGTGTATTGTTGTGGTTGTAAATTTCATTGCCAGTTGTATTATTATTGTGTATATATTTTTTTCTTATAATTCAGTTTGTATACTTACTCTTTACCTATTCTGTATCTATTCTTCGCTTAAACGAATATTTCATTACCACTTATCATATCTAATATACATTGTAGTTATAGAAAGGGGCAACGTCAGCTTGCGAACGTATGTAATATTATTAATGTTATCTGAAATGGCATTGTTCTGATAGTAATAAGCTTATTAAGGATTTTAAAAGAAATTGTAATGGTAATTATAATGATTATTGTAATTCCGTTGTTGTTCCATCGTCAACTCGGTAAACATCTCGATTAAATAGTAATAAACGCACGTAGTGTATCATTGTTTTTCTTTCGACGGGACAGCAGCTCATGCTTTTTTGGGCCAGTCGAATTTTGACATTAAAAATAAAAGTATTTTTAAAAAGTAAATTCGGCGGCGGAAAACATTAACTTGCCTACATAGTTTCCTATCATACCAATTCAAATCTGTATACTAACTGCATGACGTGCATCCTTACTTTTCCTAATAGCAATTTTATTATGCCTTTCGTCGGTAATTTCGGTTTAAACTTCAATTCTCAATATTTCTTCTAAACGGCATTTCCAGATGTCAGTAGTTAGTTCTCTACTGTGATCAACTTATTGCTAAATCCTACTTATCACCCTTTTTACAATCTTTTTTCTGTTCTGATGAAGTTTTCGTTTCATGTACCTAAAAATAGTAACCTTACGCTCCAATTTCATATTTTATTTGTAGTCTTTATTTCTTTGATTTGTACATTAAATACTTTACCGTTTTCGCGTTATTGTTATTTCTTCGTCCTATCACCAGAACAAATCGTCTATACAGTATGTTACAAGAAATGCAATAATCCTGAGTAAAGGTCAAGGAAAAAAAAACCTTTATGAACGAAATAGTTCCAAAAATTGGAAGGATGTATACGTATGTAAAACGTTTCCTTCTGTTCGCTATGAACACATGTTTGAAAGTTGTTTGCAGCCATTTTTAAACAATTCAGTTGTATGATGACGTGGTGACGTAATTATTTAACGAATTGTTCAGTAAGCACACTTAAAAACAGTTACGGCAATAATCAATAAGTTCGGTAACGGAATACTTTTGGAAAACTGGCACATGATGAGTGATACGTATAGACAATGCCGTACCTATTAATTCAGACATGTAAAGTTAACAACATGCAATTGAAAATGAACTTCAACATACATATACCAATCATCCCCGACGTTTTCCAAAAAAGACATGTAAGTTGTGATTGTAAGTTTCATGGGAATCTTTCGATATGTACAACTCATACAGTTTCATCAAATGAAAAAAGCAATATGTGAGATAACTGTTATCATAAATAATTACAACAGAACAGATATTTGCAAACATTACTATTTCCAGTTTGTGCGATTACCTTCCAGCAATATCAATAGTTTGCAGTATAAGTAACGCAGTGACAGTTTAAAAAGAAGAAATGCGTAACAGACATGTGCCATAATTAGGTACGTTTTGCAGAAACGTACAGAAACATATACATTACAGTGACAGTTACAAATTCCATTACTTCCCACTCCTTCTAAAAAGCTTCATTTTCATCAATCAACGCGAAGGAAAACCGAAAATTCCGTTAAAAATAAGAACACAAGGCAAGCAAGACGATTGAAGTTACTTTTTTAGTAACATCAAGTTTTTGCCGAAATTACTCATTCGGTGTGCAATACTTACAACTGCTTGTTAATTGCTTTTTATAAAGAATAACATGTTATTCTTATCATTTTCATCAGTAAACTTTCAAAAATTTTCCAGCTAAAATCCACGTCTATTGGATTACCGTACTTCATTAACTATATATTTCAGACACGGAAGTAACATTATTCATTCCAATACGGTGTGTTATTTATTAACTGAAACATTTTGGAAATACCTTCATTTGTATATTTGTACACAATTGTATATACTTTGTCAATTTACCCGATTAGTATTTTACCTGAGAAACATTATTAGCTGTTTTTTGTGAAGTTAATTTCATAAAAGTTAATTTTGCAAGCACATCTCATTTATTTCCATTGTATAATTGACTAGGACAAAAATAAATCAGTGTGGAGCAATTATTTATGTACGTATAATGTTACTATATTTGTTTCCAATGCAGCTCCAAATTCGCACAAGTATGGCAAGCAAGGTCACTTGCAAGCGAAACCAAATGTATATGTACGTATTTCTTAAATAAATAAACTACTTCTGATAACGCTGACTATTCTACAATCTACATTATACTATTCACAACCACAACAGTCAAAACATTCGTTGTCATTAGTCATTTTTGAAATAATTTTACTTATTCAATTTACCATTACACATACGACACATATTCTTATTATAATACAGCAAAACGTCATACGTGTATGTTGGACATCTCATAATAAAAACAAAACAATTTCAATTTCTTTTCAATGAACAACGTTTCTGATAAAAACAATAACAGGAAATACAGCAAAAGTCTAAATTGCATTTTAGACTATTTCGACAAGGAAATTACAATTTTTTCAATTACAGTTCAACCATACGATTTATGTTTTCTTTTCTTCTCATGTAATTCAATGTTAAAACAATTTTAATTTCTTACTGTTCAGAGTATAGACCGTTCTTCTTGACGCAGCCCATAAAGTTCCTGTATGCAGCTTTTAGAATAATTTGCAAATTTACAAGGCGGCGTTGTGTTTATTTCATAATTGAACTTAGAGTTACCTAGGTACCTCATCGGAAATGTGAAAGGTGCCATTCAAATAAAGTTTGCGAATCTTCGAAAAACAGATATACATTTGAAAGTTGCCGAAGCAGGCCTTCATGACTTCTTAATCCGTGTATCTTTTCATATATGTACATACATGCAGTTATACAGTACACATTATACACATATTATATGCATATATTTTTACTGTATTTGGTCCTCACGTAAACAGTATTCTGTACTTTCACCCTCCTTTGTTTTTCTGGTTGACAATTGACAATACGTTTGTCTATTTTCTCACATATTCTACTACTATTTATGTATGGACCACTTGTTCACAACATTTCATTTCTTGTACTTTTTCACTTACCTTTTTTAAAATTTCTTCCCTGCTTTCTTCTTATGAATGACAAATGATAACATCCAACTTTATATTTTCATTTTTTTCAAATACCCTCATTGATAACTACAGACAATTCCTATTTTTCTCTTTACGCGATTCGCGGTGGCGGACGCGACTTTTCAATGTTTACACGTGGTATTTCCCGATTTCTCCTCCAATGAAAGGCATTACAAATTATTATTATTATCGTTACCAATTTTAATAAAAACTTTTTTTGAACGTAGACAACCCTAATCACCCCAGTGCAAATAAAAGTTATGATAATATTTTTGATGATCGTATGCTGTTTTTCTTATGCAACCCACTTTACTAAATCTTTAAACGTTGCAAGCACTGCCATCTGCCAGGTTTAGTCTGCACCATTTTTGACAGGAGAGTGAGCACCGCATGATTGGTATCATGTCATTTTTGAGTCAATAAATATCTATGGTAGATAAAACATTTCGTCCCTTTCTTTTAGCCATATAGCAGTTGTAGCTGGTTGTAGCCATGTTGCTTTGCTCGGTGATTGCTTTATATTTTTCTATGGTGTATATCAATATTATATTTGTCATGTTAGTACGAAGTGCGTGACAACAATACAAATTATTGTCGTTCTATTATATATCGTAGATGGTTATTTATTTTTTAAATTGGAACTGTGAGTGAAGTTATATTATGAATGAATTATTGAACTGTATATATTCAAAACTATATTTAAAAGGTAAGTTGTGGTTCTGTTTTCGATTGAATGTATGCATACATACATATGTTTACAGAAACAGAATAATTGAAAATGTGTTCTCCAATTTTTAGTAGATGTTTCTGCTTTTTTGAACTACATGGTGCTATAAAATAAATAGATTATTTGTTTAATTTTAACAGGTATTACCTATCCAAATACATTTTGAGAAGTGATTCGAATATATGTATATATATATTATATATACATATATATTCGTTTATTTTGTTAATATTATACATTAATTATAATTAATTAATTAAAAATTAAAAGCACCTAGTAAAGTAATTGTTTATAATATACTACACCTTTGTAAGATATTTGGCGATTTGACGTACGTAAATTACGGTAATGGTGTAGCTTGTAGGATGTAATACAACAGTGTTGCAAGAGTATTCTAAAAAATAATTTATTTTTCAACACATACTTTTTTTCTTGAGAGATTAAGAGCTAATAAGGATGTGCTACTAATAATACAGTCTTGAAATAATTAGAAGTAATTTAGAAATAGATAATACTCTGATAATACCTACAATTTTCCAAATCAGGAGTTTTTTATTAGACTGATTTAGGAACTAAAATCAAAGTACATACATAAAAAAAAATAAATGCATATAAAAATAATAATTTAGCATTACCTTATCATACTTTCGATTTCTGTAGATTACCTATAATGTTATATCATCAAAATCGGTAGTAATGTGGGTAAGTGTAATGTTTTATTTTGTGTGTGGAACCAACAATTCGATTCTTTTGATGTACCCAAATTAGGGGAAGAAATAGAGAATAAATATTATGTAAAGTGGTTGTTTTACTTCTGGAAAGTAAATAAGGAAAATATTTATTGGTGAAGGGTTAAAATCGTCCACATAGTTTAATAGATATCTAATGAAACATGTAGGTATGTAGTATGTCTTAAAAGGCATGTGCTTCGTGCGTTTCCGGGTTGTTAAATCAGTAATCAGTAATAATATTAATATTTTAATTACAAAAATAATAAATGTCAATAAAACTATTATTTCAAAATCGAAAGCTTTCTACTTATTTAAAAATTGTCTATGATAAATTTTAATCAAAATCAATGTTTTAAAATCGTTTCTGTTTGCAATTCACCTACGATGTTGTTATTCTGGTTGTGTTAACATATGATGGTAATATATATGGAAGGATGGGCTACTTTCATGACCCAGTTTATGTTAAAGGCCTGGTGACTTCGTACGTGACACACAAGGACAATGCACAAACAACCAAGGTTGCATTTACAAGATAGTCGTTCTGTTAACTGAATGATTTTTGAGTGGTGTTTTATAAGAAATTTGGATTTAACATGTCCAACAAGAAACAACCTCAGTTTGTCTCGAAGCCGTCTCCCTCAGACACCGGTTCAAATACCGCTATTCCGCCCCGTTATCAACCGCCCCCATTGCCAGCATCCGGGACAGGAATACTCAAACATACTGCAATAAAAGATGCAAAACTATTCGTTCCTAAAGGCCAAGAAAACCTAAAGAATCCTTCAGATCCTGCGAATTCTAACAAGTATTATCCTACTGCAGTATCTGTTAAACAGTTTCACCCTTATCCAGTCGGAGGACCATCTCAAGCCCGTCCCAATCCTAGGACCTTCGAAGAGGATCTGAGGGTACATTCTCAAATTCATCAAGATTTGATTAGAAATCCTCCACAAAGATTGGATGAAGCTGGAATTCCACAGCATCCTCAAGATTTACGACTCCATCAGATCAGAGCAGGTGTTCGTGGTTTTACAGAAGAAGATTTTCATAGAATTACTCCAGGTAAAGTCAGTATTAAAATTCATTAAAGACATTTACAAACGGCAGTTCAATATTGTTTGCAGTTTACTTATTTAATCGTTTTATTTTATTTTTTTTTGAGATATTTAGTGTAATATTATATTATGTAGACAGGGGTCATTTTGATAGAAAATAAGGAAAAGGCAGATAGGTGGAAAGAATACCTAGAGAATGAAGATAGTGTAAAGATAGGTGAGCTAGGTTATCTCATAACAATAGAAGAGTTTAATATAGCATTTACTTATTTAATATAATAATAATAATTTAAATTAAAAAACTTACAGAAGATATAGATGGAATACAGGTGGAAATTCTAAAACATGCAGGACAAGAGCTTAAAGATCGTATGTTTAAGGTAGTTAGTCACATTTACGAAACGGGAAAAGTCCCGGAACGTGCTAGTAATCATACCTAAAAAGAGAGGCGCAGAAAGGTGCCAGACATTTAGAACAATTAGCTTAACTTCGCATGCGTCAAAAATCTTAACGTGAATTCTACAGAGAGGGATGAAAAAAGGACGAAAAAACTTAGGGGAAAATCAATTTAGGTTTAGAAGAAATAGAGGTACGCTGGAGGCCATTCTAGCTTTACAGGTAATAATAGAGAAAACGATACAAAAAAGAAATAGTGCGTACATAGGATTCGTAGATTTAGAAAAAGCTTTTGACTGTTAAATGGGACAAGATATTAAATATACTTAAAAATATAGGGATGATTTACAAAGATGGAAGAGTGATACTTAGTTTGTATAAAGAGCAACAGGCAGTTATAGCGATGGGGCTGCAACGTAGAGAAGTAAATATTAGGAAGGGAGTCAGACAGGGATGCACACTGTCACCGCTACTTTTTAATTTATACTTCGAAGACGCAATCAACGTCATTAAAAACAGTACAACTGAAGGGCTAGATACAGGGGCAAAAAATTAGTAAATTTAGATTTGAGTTGATATAGCAGTATTAGCATCTAATAAGGAGTTAGAGATAGCTTAAAAAAATGGAAGCGGTATTAACAAAACCGTATTGTATGAAAATAAATAAAAAACAAAAATGCTGTTACACGAGGGAAGGGAAAGAGCGAATATAAAGATGTGGCTGATTTTCGGTATTTAGGAAGTCAGGACTGAAGGAGTATTAGAGATATAAGACAGAGGATAGCGCAGGGTCGAGTTGCCTTCAATAAAAAGAAGTCACTCCTATGCCCGCGGGCAGTTAATTTTGAAATTCGAAAAAGATTGTTAAGTGTGTATGTTTGGAGCCCTGCGCTGTACGGGTGCGAAACATGGACAGTGGACGCGGCAGAAAAAAAATGTTAGAAACGTTCGAAATGTAGTGTTATAGGCAAATAATGAGGATACCGTGTATAGAGAAGGTTAAAAATTAAGAGGTATTAGAATGAATAGGAGAACAGAGGACTTTATCGAAGTCAATAAGAAATAGGCGAGATAGGTTACTAGAACACCTTCTCAGGTATGAAGGGCTAGTCAGAAGTATATTAGAGGCAGAAACAGGAGTTAAGGGGGGTAGAGATAGACCTAGATTAGATTATAATTCGCAAATAGTTAAGGATGTGGGATGTTCTAGAGGGAAGTGCGAAAATTAGCTCAGGATAGGAAGGAGTGGAAGTGCGTATCCAACTAGTCTTATTAGGACTGATGACTCTATGATGATGATTATGTAGTTAAGTTTTTATTATCTCGAAGTTAATTTTTGAAAAAACTACAGCTTGAAAATAATAATTTTATTGAGAGATTGAAGCGAGCAAAAATATCTAAATTTAAAAACGAAATTATAAAAAGATGTAACCTATATAAAACTATTGGGTTAAAAAAAGTTTACATGCTGCATAAACTATCGAGCACTAAACGCCTTATTACGTAAGCAATGTGCATGACATTACTACCTATCAATGCAATTTTGACAATATTGTAATTATGTTCTTGATTTGTTAATACATAGATATATCTTCCACAATTTAATTTCAAAAATGTTACTGTTCGTTATATTTTGAAATGCTCATATGTACATAAAACAAAGTATTACTATAAAGAAAACGTACAAAAAAATATTTATGAAGTTGTTTCTTGGTAGGAGAAATAACTGGTTTTTAAGGCATTTGTAAAAGAATCAATAGAGCAACTAAAATGTTAAATTATAACATGTAAGAATAATTAAAATATGGATGAAGTTATAGATGTAAACAAATGAACTAATTTGACAGTTTTTGTAGGCGATATGTTAAAGTTTGTTCGCAAAACTGATCCTCAAGCGGAACAAGCTCGTCATTTACAAATGCAAAATCTTCTTGCCGAACTTCGATCTTTAAAGGAGGCAAATGTGCGACTTGGAGATGATAACCAGGATCTGAGGGATTTGTGTTGTTTTCTGGATGATGATCGTCAAAAAGGGCGTAAATTAGCACGTGAGTGGCAACGTTTCGGTCGATACACAGCCAGCGTCATGCGCCAAGAGGTTTCTGCTTACCAAAACAAACTACGAGAATTAGATAATAAACAACAAGAACTAATTAAAGACAATTTAGAATTGAAAGAGCTTTGTCTTTATTTGGGTAAGAATATTTCGAAAGCAAAACAAAGATCCGATAATAATTTTTAAATTTGCGTTAGACGAAGAAAGGAGCGGGAGTAGTATATGTCCATCTTGCGGGAGCAGTACGACTGGAAATTTACGGGACGACGGAGATGGATCTAGTTCAAGTACAAATGCCGATGAACCCCAAGTTCCTCAGCAATTTAATGGAGGAACAAATCCACCCCGAAGAAGTGCTAGTCGAGAGCGAATTCTTCACGAAACTTTATCACGTCAAAGAAATACCTTGAATGGTAAGTCCATATTAAAAAAAAAGATTAAGTCTCTTTACAATTGGCCTTCCAGTGGAGAAGTGAATTCCGAACTTGTCATTGCTTTGTACTATACAGGGTGTTTCTGAAATATGTGAGAAGTCTGCAGAGGTGATAGGGCACTATAAAAAAATAAATAAACGTATTTGAAGGTACAGGCAAGGTCCAGCCCGACCCTGGTAAATCACGCGGAACAGAATATCGTATTAGGAGTAATTTCGAGTTTTGGGCGCACCTGTATAACTTGGCTGTTTATAAAATTAGAAGAAAAAAATAACAGTGCCGTCCGTCTAGGGACGCCCGAAAGAAGCAAAGCTTTGTAGAATAAAGCGTAGAAACTAAGCTTTAAAAAATCATAAAAAAAGACTTGAGGAGCAAAAAACCATTAAAATTGAAAAAAAAAATGAACAAATATATATATCGTCATCATTATCATCATAAGGTCGTCAGTCCTAAGGCACGTACCTCCACTCTTTCCTATCCTGAGCCAATCTTCGCATTTCCCTAAAACTAGAACAACCCACATCCTTAACTATTTGCGAACAGTAATCTAACCTAGGTCTACCTATACCCCTCCTAACTCCTGTTTCTGCCTCTAATATGTCTCTGACTAGACCTTCATGCCTGAGGAGGTGTCCTGCCAACTTATCTCGCCTATTTTTTATTGACTTCCATAGAGTCCTCTGTTCTCTTACTCTTTCTAATACCTCTTCATTTCTAACCTTTTCTATCCACGGTATCCTCATCATTTGCCTGTAACACCACATTTCGAAAGCTTCTAACCTATATATATCGTGTAACGGTAAAATCTGACGCTTAGCACGAATAGAGTGACCGCGAACGTTCGAATAGAAGCTTCGTTTCAAAACAACTTTTACGTCGTTCAGACACTTTTTGTATAAAAAAAAGTGGTGTCAGAAAAGTAAAAAAAAAAGGTTGGCTTCATATATTTCGTCCATATTTACATGTTGAGCTGTATTTAAAATAGTGTAGCATACTACTATCAGGGATGAACGAATGTTATTAATTCATATTTATTATAATGGGCGTTAAACATTATATGTAGTAATTGCTGACTTTTACATGCTCTATCGATGCAGCTATTAAGTTTTTATCGTTGTAGCTGCACACGTACGTACGAGCAGATTGTAAATTGTGGTTTTCGTAAAAAAATTGTCCTTTAATCACGCTACTGTACTTACGATTTCATATTTCATCTGGTTGTCACCCTCCAAAGCTTTGCACTTACTTCAGAAACACCCCGTAAACATCGTTATTAATTTGAATGTGTTTGATGTTATGATTTTTTTGATACAGTTTAATAATTTGGTCAGCTGGAGTGTGGATTTTTACCGTGAAATCTATTTTCATTTTCCAAAATATAGGTACTTTAACGAAAATATACAGTATGATAAAACTATAAGCTGTTCGTAGGGCATCAAAGGTGCAGGATATACGATAATTTTAATACTCAGCCTTGCTTGAAGTGTGGCAGATTGGGTCATAAAAAGTGTAAAAATGAAACAGAATGCCTCCGTTGCTTAGAAAATCGCAACACCAAGAATTGTACGAACATTAATATCATGACTCCTGCCTGGGTAGAAAGTAATCAACTATTTGGGACAAAATTGAAAGTTGATCATTATGTTTTTGACACTAAGAATTGTGAAATACTAAAAAAAAAACGATTAAAAAGAATTGTGATTGCAACAAAGTATTCAATATTATCTCGAGTACCTGATTTTCTTGGCGGCTATCAGTTTGGAACTCTAAGTAAAACGCCAGCATCGAATATTGAAAACAGGCAGCAACGTTATAAAGGGTGACACAAATGAATCTGGAATAACTCCCTCTGTGCGTGTGTATATGACAACTGACTTGGGTTATGCATCTGTAATTAACGATTAAAATACTTACAATGGTCAACTCTCGAAGTCAGATGATCTTATCATATGTTTGCTCAATGTGTAACGGCACAATGCTAATCACGCTGCCCTAAAAATGTTTATTAACACACAAGACAATTCAGTAATAATTATCTGCATTAAGACTTGGATTTTAATTATTACAAATATTTTTCATTCATTCATTAGAGAATTTACTGCAAGGGTAATATTAATCACGTTGATGGAGTGTGCATCTATGTTAGAGAAGACATTATAGCAGATGTGACCAATGAGAGATTCGAAAATTAACGTTTTGTGTGGGAGAAAAACCGGGTGCTGATGACTAAATAAACATACAACAAAAGCATACGTAATCCTAATACCTAAAATGTAGCATCGTGCTACAGTTGGCGTTTACTGCGCCATTTGTAGTATTTTCTAAAACGCACTGTTAAGACAGGTAAAAGTTGGTCTGTGTTCTGTCGGAGCTGCCTGCGACGCGCTGATGAGATCCAAAAACATCGAAATCGCGATCCGCGTCTGGCAGTTTCGACAGAATACAGACCACTTCAAATTATTTTAAACATACAAATGTCAAAAATCGTGTAATTCCGGCAGACTACAGCATTAATGCGCCTGGCGCTTGCTTTTGGTGTGAGACATAACAAGACCTTCAAGTAGTGACACTACGCGTTCATGCATAGACATTTGTTTTTTGCAAGATTAGGTATTTTTTAACTGACGCCCTTATGAATTATTAGTAATAGTGTAAAAAAGAATTTAATAAAATGCATTAATTATAGTAAGTAAATTAGCTAATTTTATTGGTCCTTAAGTAACAACATATATGATCCTGACTGTGCGATGGATAATATAATGAATCTTATGTAGGGTCGCATCTCGTCCATTAAAAAAGTGTCTGTGTTAAAGATAAAAGTTTAGCCAGAAGTAGATGGATCACGCCTGAACTAATAATTTCGTGTCAAACTAAACAATCTCTATATTTGATGATAAAACAGAATCTCAGACAAGAATATAAATAGTACCGCAAATTGCTGAGAAAATTTATTGTCCTGACTAAGACGTCCTTCAAGAGAAATGAAATTTCAAGGCGAGACTAAAAAGCTACAGCAATATATAAATAAAAAAAGAATTAGAAGGAAATTATATTCAATATTCATGACTTTTGGCTGCCACGATGACATTGTCCCGAAGGTTATTAATATAAGAGCGAATGAGGAGAGGATTAAAAGGGTCAGCCATACCAAATATCTTGGTGTAACTTTTAACACCAGAATGCGTTGACAACAAGACATTAGAGATTTGGTTAATAGAACAAAATATTTTATTTTCGGAGTGTAAAAGTGTAAGTGTGCCGGAGAGTGTGTTTGGTTGGTCATTTGAGGAAAAGTGGGAGATTTTCTGTAAGATAATGAGGAGGTTATAGCTAGAAGGCTGGCCGAGACGAAGGGGAGTTTGTTTTTAGGTTACATGTAATTCTACGTGGTGTGATTGTGTTATTTCCGATGGCTCTTTTAGTGTATCTAGTTTGTAGATTGTTTATATGTTCAGGTATTGGTGTGATTGGACGAATGAGATATATCCAATCTAGCGATTTTACGTAGAATTCGCCTTTCGGTTGTCAGAATTTTACGCGTGAAGTATCGCGAAGATGTGGTTAGTGAAACTGCCCGGTAATCTATTAGTAGTCTTAGGAATGTTGTATATGTAAAGAGTGTGTTCGTGTTACAATTTTTTATTTGCCCGTGTATTAATGAGATCAACTTAGCGCGGTTCTGAACTCTATCGAGTGTGTTATTAAGGTCTATTCCTGGATTAATGCTGTGTTTAATTTCCTTTTGAAGTATATTATATTAATCCAACATTTTATAGTTTTCCGTTAAAACATACCGGTGTAGTTTATTTATGTTTACTTGACGCAAAAAATTTCGGAGTAGTTTGACCATAGCTCCTTACTTCGCCTTTTTGCCCTTGAAATCTAAGATTATTTATTTTTGTTTTGTTATTAATATTTTTGAACTTCTAAATAGCTTATATCCTTCTTCGAGTTATTAAGAATGTTACTGTTAAAATTTTATGAAAATCGATCGGATAGTTTTTGAGATTATTCGTTACAACACTAACAGTGGCTTCTCTTTATATAGTAGATAACTGTTATGTTTTAAGATCAAACCATGCAATACGTACGAAATTTAGAACAGCAAATCAAGCAGCTGGAAGAAGAGAAGAAGGCGTTGACTGTGAAAATTAATAAATTGGCATCGGCTGTGGGTGATCCAGGATTGGTGATAACTCCACCAAATCAATCTGAAACGTCGAGTTTAAATGGACGCCCCGAGGCCGTTGTTAGGGCCCTCCAGGTTCTCGAACTGAGAGAACAGCTGGAACGGGAAGCTCGGGATATTTATGAAGTAGAGGAAAGAGGGGATATTGCTTCTCAAGATATGGACGATGGGGAAAAAGCTTTAGTTAGAGAAATGTGTAATGTAAGTAATGACCACAATAGTTAAATTTTTCTATATATGATGTTCATTTTAGGTTGTATGGAGAAAATTAGAAGAGGCACCCCCTCCACCAAGACGATAACGCTAACAGTAAATTAATATTTTTCCAGGATTCATAAATTCTTGCCTTTTGGTGTATATATTGAACGTTCAAAGTACGCAAAGTACACTTATTTATACGTTTATTTTTATAAAGTATTTAAATAAAATATTTTAAGCTCTTTTGTAACGTTTGTGGTTATTAAAAAATTATTTTATCTAAGAAAAATATTTTTATTGTATTCTTTTTGGAAGTTCATTTATTTCCCTTCTCTTACTTTTTCCATACTTTGTAAAAGTCAATTACTTATAACTATAAGATGTTGATCAGGTAAACAATAATTTAACCTAATAAGACAGAAAGAGAACTGAACGTTTTTAAAATTGATTACTGTTTACAGTCTTCAGTTTACCTTTTTTCCTCAACAGAATTTGTAGTTGTCATTTTACTGATAGGAAGTTTATTTTTTGTAAGATGATCTAGATACAAACTTCCTTATTAAAATAGTTAAACAAGAAAACAACATACTACTGGTATTTCTGAGCATGTGAGGTATAGAAACGCGTTTTTAGTTTCTTAAACGCTTTTATGCTTAATTATGGGTTTTAGTGTTTTATTTAGTTCACTTCTACCGAACTCCATTTTAGAACTAAGTAGTAAGTTCTTAGTCTTAATCATGGTCTCTGTTGAAACAATTACCAAATTTTTACAATTAATTAATAAACAGTTTTGATTAATACATATTGCCAAAGACCAGAACGCATATGCTGTAACATTCTGGAACGACCANCATTCCTCTATTTCTTCTAAACCCAAATTGATCTTCCCCTAATAGTTCTTCCGCCTTTTTTCCATCCTCCTCTGTTCAATTCTAGTAAAATTTTTGACGCATGGGAAGTTAAGCTAATTGTTCTAAATGTCTCGCACCTATCCGCGCCCCTCTTTTTAGGTAATGTTACTCCTACGTTCCGTTTATAATCCTCTGGGACTTTCCCTGTCTCGTAAATGTGACTAACTAGCTTGATGCTATTACTACTTTGAAATTTTGAAATATGTCAAGAACTACAATTTTTATGATCGGGCCCATTACAATAACTTTTCTATAATCTGGAAATTGCAAATTTTTCAAAAATTAAATAACCCAAAAATTATTTACAGCAACTTTCCAATAAAATTTTAAGTAAGCCATTAGAAATCATGCCCTTTCATAAAACCTTTTTTATTATGTTAGTTTCAATGGTTTTAAAAATAATGGGGGATACCATATTTTTAGTTCACATTAAGATCCTCACACGACTTAAAAAGGTTTGCCGAATTAAATCGACTGAATAATATGACAAACAATATTTTCTTACGAAAAAGTTCTGTCTGTTAATATGAAAATATAAAATTAGCAATCGCTTTATTTAACTTGATTAAATAAAATATAATTACGTATTTATGTTGATATTTATTGACATACAAACCAATAGTTACACTAACAATCAATATCCACCTATTTGTACTTCTATGTGACGTACATATACAATCAATGTACTTAATTTTCAAAATATTTGGTCTCGATTGATAGCGTGAACGCCACAACTACTATAATTACAAACATGTAAAATCATTTGCCATTTATTATACATCAGAATTAATTACTCCATGCTATCAGTGGCATAAGTAATTGGAAAAAAGACAAAAAAAATACACAATGATTGCGCATTTCTAATGAATATGTCGACTAAATAAAACAAAAAGCGATATTAATAAGCACGAAATAGACATGAATAAAAATCGTCTTTCTATTGTCCCTTATGCCATTGAATAATTGAAATAAAAAAAGAACATTAATATAATAATTTTTTTTTTCTAAATTATGGTACTTAATTGTTGTTGAACGAAGAAGCAATCGTATTTTTGTTTCAATAGCGGTGTCTTCTGCCGCCACTTCTTCGACGATCGTAGTCGTAGTCGTCGTACCTCCGGGACGAGTGTCTACGTCTTCCGTAGTCTCGGCCGTAGTCGCGGTCGTAGTCGCGATCCCGTCTGCCTGATCGTCTTCTAGAACCTCTGGAATCGTAACTAAAAAGACCATATAAGTCAGCGCATCGCATTCCCCCCGCTATCCCGCGGGACCCCGACGCGCAACACACAGAGACAGACAACAGAATAACGTGCGCGCGGCGCAAGTGCCATTTTATTTTATTTTTTGCATAAATTCGGCCCAGCTTTGTTTGTTTGACCGACAGACTGATTGACTGATCAATTGATCAATTGATTTTCATAATCGTGATTGTGTGTATTTGTTTGATGCCCACATTGCGCTATATTGAAAACCATGACAATATCCATCTATAATGAACAACCAAACCATTTAAACTATACCATAATACCATAAGCCTGATAAACCACAAACACAATTAATTGTTGAACCAAAGCTATGGCTGGGTACAAAGTACACCTGTACATCTGACAGGTGTATTATATTAATACTTCAACGACATTCGTCAATACTTAAAGACATTCTAAGCTTTCAGTAATTTATTCTCTTATCTTCTTTAACTGGAGGAGTAATTTAAAACTCAATTGTTTTGACTACAGCACTCTTCTGCATATATATTTACAATTGATAAAATATTTAGGATAATTAAAGTTAATCCAAAACTTTAAATGTTTTTGATTTCATTTGAACTATTCTGAAGGAAAATTACTGAAAGCTTTCATAATTAATTATTATAGTATAGTAAGAGTTCGATTAAATACATATTTCATTACAGTAATTAAGTATTAGCATTCAAATGTTAAGTTATTTTATAAAAAAGTTTGGAAAATATATTCTTATTACATCAATGTTCGATAAAATTATCAGAAGTTCTCAAATGTTGACTGATAAAACACATTGTTTTATTTATTTATTTGATTTCTCATTTCATTAGTACTAAAATATTATTTCCTTCATGCATTTTAATTGAACTCTAAATGAACAAAACATAATTACCTTTTGCCTCCATCTAAATCCGGGCAATCTCTGTAAAAATGACCAGAATAACCACACTGATAACATCGCATATTGGGATGAAATGATCGTCTTCCTTGGCCCCGTGTTCTTGGTCGGGCATGGGTTACTCGAATTCTGCTTCCGCCAACACTCCTAATGTACCATTTTTAATTGAATAAATAATCACAAGACTATGTTTAACAAATAATGATATTTAACTTACACTCCATCTGTCCCTTTCAGAGCTGCAGCAGCACTCTCTTTAGTTTTATAGACAGCAAATCCAAACACAGGTGAACTGTGGGTCATCCACAGTTCCTTAAGATTGCCATATTGGGAAAATAATTTTTCCAAATCAGATTTTCTAACTTCATCTGCAATGTCAGCTATGTGTAGTCTGTACTCATCCCTCTCACTGCTGTTACTTCGTGATCGCGAACGCGACTTTGAGCGGCTAGATTTGCTTGATAAACTGCGACTTTTTTTCTTGCCATTTTCCTTGCTTGTATTTGAATTACTTCGACTTCGGCTTCTACTCGATCGAGGCGATTTATCTTCTCTCATTGTGGAATCAATTTTGAATTCTCAAATCAACGTTTGGTTAAAATTGTTTTTGTTTTAAACAATTTGCTGCAGCCAACTATGTTTAATGTATTTTGCCTTGAAGAAATAATTATCTTATCTGGGTAGTTATATCACCAATTCACCAAAGTAAAATAATTAGGTGCGTAGCTTAAAAACAGATTGAAAAATAGCTCACACAAGCACGAGTTATTTACAAAAAAAACTTGTCTACAAAATCTATTTGACCGTTCGGTTCCACTTATAATTAATATGTAATCTACAACCAATTAATGTAAAGGATTATCGATAAAGCTAACGTTATCTAACGTAAATACGACACTACATTAACAAGCAATTAAATACAGGAATGTGTGCTGACGTACACCTTTCCTATTGCCATAGACCCTACTACTTCCTACCATAGACAAGAGAGTTTTATAGATGAATAACTCGAGCGCTATCTGTTATGATAGGTCAATATTAGAAGAAAACGGCGGGAAATGTAAATGGGATTCAGTTTTGTTTTAAGTTAGAATTTGTCATATACCATTCTATTTACAAGAAGAAGATGGTTTGTTTCTTCTTGAATATAGATTGTTACATGTCAAATTGTAACTTAAATTGTAACTGTGAAGGAATAAGAGTAATGTCATTTTTGATCACTTATATACATTCGTATACATAAGCATGTCTATAGTGCTAGCTGCTAATCGCAATTGTCTTTTTCTACTTATTTGCTAAAAAATCAAGATAATCCTCTAAAAACTATTGTAGTCGTTTGTAAGTGAATGATAATAACATCGAACGTTTTGAGTGCTGAAGATGATTAATTATTACTGTTATATGTATATTCTATTATAAAGCTGCCTGAAATATTATTTATTCAATATTTATGTTAATAGTCTTGCGATTTTTAATGTCTAATTTTTACTATTTTTTTTACGGATATGCTTAGAGTTATATACGTCACTGCCAGGTATTTTTTATACATATGCAAAAATGCTCAATCCACCGATTCCTGATTGGACTCCTATCTCGGCCTTAAACCATAGATAATAGATCTACAAAGGGTAATAGATGGTCAACTCGAAATGCGCCGATTTGCGCGCCCTCCGGCAGGTGTAGTCAATACTACATAAAAAAGGCGCGCACTTTAAATTTGTTAGTTACTTATTGTTTTTCGTAATGTATAAGTTAAAGTGAAAAATGGATAAGAAACAATGTATTTTCCTTTTTTATAAAAGAAAAGACATTGTCTCTTTTGTAAAAAAGGAAATACATTGTTACTTGTCCATTTTTCACCTTAACATAAGAATTTGGGAATTTTAAAGTGTAAAAGTAATAATAAGTGAAATAGTAAAAAAAATTTATTGAATGTTAACAAATACACTTGTACAANTTCTTGACGTCCAACAAGCCTTTGACCGAGTCTGGCACGAAGGTCTTATTTCCAAACTCATCGCCCTTAACATCCCACACTTTCTAGTTGGGGTTATCAGGTCCTTCCTCACAGACAGAAGCCTTCGTGTCCGCGTTGGCTCTGCTCTTTCTGCCAGTAAACCCGTCACAGCCGGTGTCCCACAAGCCTCCGAACTATCCCCTATTCTGTTTAACCTGTTTTGCGCGGACATGCCCTCCAACACTTCAATTCTGACTGCCCTGTACGCTGACGACATTGCTATCATAAACTCTTCAAGTACCATTCTCCAATGCACAGCAAGAATCAATAGGTTTCTACCCCAACTCCTAAACTGGTATCGGAAATGGAAACTTTCCATTAACGAGACCAAATCGGAGGCAATCTTCTTTTCCCGTAGGCTCCGAAAACCTCCTTCCATCATTGTCAACAACCGCCCACCTCTGTCACGTACCTAGGCGTCGTTTTAGACAGATGCCTAAACTGGCGGCCCCACATTAAAGCGATACGCAACAAGGCTCTGGGTGCATTCATCGCATTTAAACCTTTCTTTCGTAACAACACCATCTCCCAACAGACCAAAATCCGTGCGTTTAACGCAATTATCACGAGCATTTGCTCCTATGCCATTCCCGTCTGGGGCTGCGCCCTTCCCCACCACCTAACACCTTTGCAAGGTACATACATGCGGATTCTTCACTCCGCACTAAACTACCGGTGGTTCGTCAGAAACACCCAAATTCTGATTGAAACCGGTTTATCTTCTCTCCCCGAGGCTGCAATCACATTCGCGGCAAATCTCCGGGCCTCAGTGTCAGGCCACACAAACCCCACCATTTCGGCACTCTCCAACTTCGCACCGAAACCCAACGACCGTTTCCGAAGGCCCTGTCACCTTCTACAATGAGCCGCCCTCTTCCGCTCAAATCTATCTCCTAGTTTTGCTTTTTAGCGCGAGTGTCCACCCACCACCTCCTTCCGTTTCCATCCCAATACTCCCGTCCACCAACACTCTTAGCCGATTTCCCATCTCAACCCTATCCCTAATCCCCAGCTTTCCACTTTTCTCCCAGGGATGAACAATCCACAGGGTTTACCTCCCCTCCTCGAGCATAATCTAAACAAAAAAAAAACCACAGAAGGTCAGTCGGCTACGTCTTTAGCTACTGGAAACCACTAGTCGGCTACGCCTTTAGCCACTACTTCTCGTCGGCTACCCCTTTAGCCACGAGGATCCACGACGACCTATTACGGCTGGGCAGAATATATTGTTGACCTTGGATAATAAATTTGTCCAGTCACGGACAGTTGTAATGAACGCCTGTGGATAAAGCTGTGGTCGTTTCGGTGATAAAAATCGATATGTAGTACGTGATTTGGTCGAGCGCAGAGTGTTTGTCACACATTCTCCACCGGCCAGTACTCATCACGACTATATTGGTCACCCTGCGGACTACTAAACTAACAACATCGTCAAGATCAACGTGACGTCCAACCTTGCCACAAGACGCCGCCGTTCACCATGTCCCTTGACCGACTAGCCGTCAAATTGTCACACTTCGTGCCGTTCGACATCGAATTTTGGTTTTGTATGGTCGACCGCAGTTTTGAGGCCTACAGAACTACGTCCGAGTCCACGAAATTTGGGTATGTGCTAAGCAATCTTGACCCTCTATGCGGCGTAAGTGCCCGATATCATAGTCAACCCCCCGGCGACTGAATCATATACCACCATCAAGGCAGCACTCATTCGTCGGCGGGGCATCTCCCAAGAAACACGAATGAAACAACTCGAGCCAGGAGATTGGGGGGATAGGAAACCCACGCAATTTCTGCATCATCTATGCGATCTGGTCGTAACCACTATGTCGGACAACTTACTGCGAACCATTTGATCAAGTCGTCTCCCGCTTAATGTTCAAGCCATTATCCCAACTATGCGGGACAAAGGTCTGGATGAAACAGCAGAGGCAGCTAATTGCATCATGGAAACAATCCAAACGTAAACCATAGCCGCAGCTAATCCCACGACCAGTTCTACTTCGGAAACCATTCAAACCTTAACCCACGCATGGTGGGAAAGTTGAAGAACCAACCCCGTTCTATTTACGCAGTTTTTTACCCCGATAACGTTCCAACCATAATATTAGGATAAATGGTCAAAGGCAAGGCGCATGTACACATCCAACCATGACGGATGACAACAGGAAATCAACCAGGAAACCACGTATGACAACGACTGAGGTCCACACAGGGCATCGATGCCTATTTGTATCAGACGCCAGAAATTTCCAGTCGACACCGGCGCTGACATCTGCATGTATCCCAAGTCACTAATACCTGGACCACGTTAGAAATCCACGTTCACGCTACAAGCAGCAAACAGCACCAACATAGCGACTTATAGTACCATTGTTTCCCATGGCGTTTCATCATAGCTGACGTCACGAAACCAATCATCGCTGCAGATTTTCTTACACACTACCAAGTGCTGGTACACTTAAGCAACCAACGACTCCTGGATCGACTCACACATCTCACCACCTCTGGTCAACTAATCAGCTGCAGCTAACTTCCGTCACGAAACCGACCACTTCCGCATACCACAAAGTATTTCAACATTTCCCCTCATTAACTCCACCCAACGTCCAAATCATCTATTCCAAAAATTCAACAAGGGACTATGTTAATACTACCCCCACTCCACCGGTAACATATAAACCACGACGATTAGATCCGTTTCTCTGCAGCCAAGAGAGAATTTAAAACGTTGGTGCAGCTAGGTATTGCACGTCCCTCCTCCAACCCCTGGGCATCGCCACTACACATGGCCCCAAAGAAAGACGATGAATGGCGCTCATGTGATTACCGAACGCTTAACGCTAGAACAATCCCAGACAGATATCCTGTACACAACATTGGTGACTTCAGACATGCATTGGCAAACATGACATTTTTCTCTACGATCAATCTAGTTCGAGCCTATAACCAAATTCCAGTTACCGAAGACATTCCAAAAACAGCAATTACAACACCGTTTGGTTTGTTCGAGTTTCCGTATATAAATTTTATTTATTCGCCTGCATTACTACGATATATTACTTAAATGCAATTTTGGTAAACGAGAAGTATCTTTTCTAGGTTATTCTGTCTCGGCAAATGGAATACGTCCTTTGCCCGACAGAGTAACAGCAATCATCTATTTCCCGAAACCTACTACCGCAAACAATTGTCACGATGCCTGGTTCCTGCCCAATATGCTGCCGGCACTCATTCTGCTTTGAATGAACTTCTGCTGGGAAAAATTAAAGGAAATGCACCACTACAGTGGAATTCCACAGCCAACGAGGCATTCAATTTAAGTAAGAAGCAACTGGCGCAGACTATTCTACTGCACCATCCGCAACCAGATGCTACTTTTGATATCGAGCATCACTCATGCAAACAACATATCAACGCAGATACACTATCCCGGAGACCTTGCGTGGAAAACCTCAATCATTGTTCATCTGCGGAGAGGGAGGAAGAATTTACATCAATCTGTTGTAATCTAACCACCGTTCAGCCTGACGGATCCTGAAAAGTTAAAGAATTAATCGAAGAAAGACGAAGATATTGGCCCAATACTGAGATGGAAACAAGCTACTACTTCAAGACAATCGTGAGCCACCTAAGTCAAGCAACGAAAAGTTGTTGGATCCAGTGGACTTCCCTTATGTTGGACCACGGCGTTTTGAAGAGAATGTGGGAGAATTCAGATGGAATCAAAGACAAACTCCATGACGAAGGACATTTCCGCATCACGAAGATTCTGGGGAAGGTGCGCGAGCGATTTTATTGGCTACGAAGTCGAAACGATATGAAAGACTAGTGCAGGAAATGCCTGACATACACCGCCAGTAAGGTACCGAAAACAAGAAGTCGTGGACGAATGCAGCAATACAACGTACGAGTATCATTCGAGAGAATTGCAGTTGACGTAGTAGGACCATTGTTACCGACAGAACTCGGTAACCGATACATCTTGGTAGTCATGGATTACTTTAGTAAACATATGCGATATCGAATCAGGAAGCACACACCGTTGCTGAGAAGCTTGTCAATGGCTGAATTAGTCGATATGGAGTACAACTAGAATTGCATTCCGACCAAGACAGGAACTTCGAATCGGCTTTGTTCAAGAACATTACTGAACTAATGGGCATTACTAAATCGCCCAGGCAAACGGCGATGCCCGATATGTCGAACTCGTATTCCTAAAGTTGTTATAACCATCTTGCAATTTGTCCTTTTGGACTCCAGTTTTGCTTCGTTAGCTCTAGTCGTGACAGGCATGTAATATCTTGATTTCTTTTAAAATGTTCGATGAAAATCTTCGATTTTAGTAAAATCGTTCTTCTTTCTTATCAAGCTTCCCAATGCTGTATAAGTTGTTAGGGTTATGTGTAATCTGTGAAAACTTCCAAAAAATTCGATGAAGTCGGATTCGTTCTTCTCTCTTCGGGACCTTTCCAACGAAGTATGGTTTGTTGGGGGTACGTCAGGATTAATAGTAACTTCGATGGAACTTTTCGATACCGTCAGCTTCGTTCTTTCTTCAAGAGCTTTTCAATTTCTTCAATATCTGACTTGTTAGGGTTACTCGAAGCCAATGGAAACTTACAGAAAGTTATATAAAATTCTTTAATGACGTTAGATTCATCTTTCTCTCTTCGAGAACTTTCAAGCTTCTATAAAATTGACCAATGGAACGCTCTGAAATGTTCGATTCAATTCTTCAAAATCCTCAGTTTTCCTTTATCTCACTCCTATCACCACGATACAGGTTTAAAACACAAACAAATGTGTAACAAGAGACGCGTAAATTGCCTTGTTCAATTTAACTTAAGTAATTCCAATTTAACTTTTTCAAACACTACGTCGTTATTTCAATTTACATACTTCAATTAACTCGTGGCACTTAGGACTGCACCTAGTCAAAATTGCTCCGAAGTTCAGTCATGCCAATAAAAACAATTAGGAAACTCCAAGCCAGTCCAGTACAGCAAAAAGATTAATTTTCCTTAGTAATTTGAAAGAGATGATTTTACTCACAGTTACAAGTGTTTTTTCCAGTTTTTCAAACAAGAAGGGCTAATGATTTCCATTACAATAAAGCCTAAGTGTTTCCAACAACAATTAGGGCAACAAATCAGGCTCTTGTTCCAAACAACAGGCTAAGCGTTTTCCATTAAACCAAGGCAGAGAACAAGATGTACAGAGCAAAATATGATTAAATTCATCTCACCATTAGTGTTGTGATGTAGGATTGTCATTAGATAAACCAAAAATTAGCACAGCGCCGCAATTAAGAGTTTAGGGTTGTCGTTCGACAAATCTGGTAATGACTAACCAGCAACAGTTTAGGGTGTTACACAGCACAAGTACAAAATGTACATCTGTCTAATACAAAAGAGATGCCTTCGTAATTGGGATTTACTCACATCGGTGCCGCGGAAAGAATGCAGATAGCAATCACTTTTCTTTTACAAATCAACCAAATAGTAAGAAATTATTGGTATAATAAAGAACAACTTCCTGGTTAACAATTTTTTTTTAAATATCGATTTTCTTTTTAGACCAGAGGTCATTTTCAACAAATTCCAGAATTTACTCATTTTTATTCTTGTTTCAACGACTCAACCGAATGTTATGTAAGAATTTACTTATACATATACACATCTCGAAATTATGTTATGATGCTATTCATCATCATCATCATAAGGTCGTCAGTCCTAAGACTGGTTGGACACGTACCTCCACTCTTTCCTATCCTGAGCTAAACTTCGCATTTCCCTANATCACTGCAGTGCAAATAAAAATAATGATAATATTTTTTATGATCGTAATGCTGTTTTTCATATGCAACCCATTTTACAAAATCTTTAACCGCTGCAACACCGCCATCTGCCAGGTGTAGTCACTACTATTTTGACAGGAGGAGTTAACACCGCATGGCCTTAAACCATGAAAGAGAAAAGGCAAAGGGCTCGTTAACATTCATATTGGACTATCGCAGAAAATGAAGCCCAAAACATCGAATGTCCACCATTTTTTGGAGGCAAACATTGAAGGTGTCACCCAACGACTTGTCACCACGTTTGTTTTGTGTATTTCTGAGCGATTTATGGATGAAAAACATTAATGTTAGTTGGCGCATTGGCGCGTAAAGCCAAAGAGCCCGGGTTCGATTCCCGGCGGGGGTGTGACAACAGCAACAAATTTTTCCTCATTAATTTGAGGAAGTGTGTAGTGGGCAAAAAAGAATTCAAGAAATTAATTTTCAGAATAATATTTCATATTAATGTTAGTATTTGTAATAATGGTTAACTGTTCTACTTATATTTCATAGAGTCGAGGTAATAAAATGAGCCGCAAATTACATTTCACATGTGAATTCTTATAGTTAAAGAATGCATTTCATAACTTCGAAAATAAATCATAGTATACGTATGGCTCTTTTTGTAAATGTAAATTTACACAAACGCTACTTATTCTGTTTTGGTGGTAACTGACTTCACATTATCTATGCTTCACATCTACACAGTTACGAATACCCTTTCTTTTATAATGATCTACACCATCGACGTTTACTAATGGACATGCCTTAGCGGTCAGAATTGTGGTACAACAAAAAAAGAGATGGAACGAAGTTTCGGACAATATCCATCTCTCTCACGATAGTGCGTAAGTGTGTCATGAAAGATATAGTACTAGTCCGAAACCTTACGCCATCTCCCTCACTTTTCGAGCCAAGAAATTATTAAAACGACATACGCATAGATAATAGATATACAAAGGTAAGACATACGGCTAAGGCACGTCCATTAATATATGTCTATGATCTACACATTGTTGTCTATGGGTCATCTGGTTATATGTTGGTTACCCTGATTACTATCTAGTTACATTTGACGGTTTCAGTTTAAGTGGTATATCTAATTTTTCAACAGTTTATTAAATTGTCTATCTATTATCTATGTTGTCTATGTTTATTGAACGTCAAGACAGAAAGTAGAAAAATATAAATAAAATAGAAATAACATGAGAAATATAAAGGAATAAGGATTATTGTGTTAAAAAGTCGAAGTAAAGCGTAGACAGGTATATCAAATAAAAATGGGAAATGCAGCTAGTGGTGGAAATGTTTCAAGAGAACGTCAGAAATCTGGAGAAATCATACCATCATCACCTTGTAAGGATGGGGCCTTCGTTTTTGACAAGAAATTAGAAAATAAGCTCGTTTTCCAGGGTTCTCATGATGATGACGAACCGTATTTTACTAAACCGGTGTCTCAGGATTTATCTTATGATGGTCCAAGACCCAGGTCAAATACAATTTCAGAAGGTACCACTAAAATTGATACTAACGAGAAAGCACTGCCCACAGTTTTTCGTTGGGAAGGTGGTGGAAACGAGGTATATATTTGCGGGACGTTTTCAAACTGGAAAACCATACCGATGGTTAAAAGTCATGGAGATTTTGTAACCATAATAGATTTACCAGAAGGAGAACATCAATATAAGTATTTTGTTGATGGAGAATGGAAGTATGATCCTTGTCTTAAAGTTGTCGAAAGTGATGCTGGAACAAAAAATAATGTGGTATCAGTAAAAAAGTCTGATTTTGAAGTTTTTCAAGCTTTGGCTAAAGACAGTGAATCACAGAAAGCTGATATGCAAACTGAATATTCACAAGAAATTCCTCAGAATAAACCATGGGAGAAAGTATCAGGCCCCCCTATTTTACCACCACATTTACTTCAGGTTATTTTGAACAAAGACACTCCATTATCTGTAAGTATGAACAATTGTATAGTTTGAAGTACATTTTTATTACTATAAAATTGTTTCATAGTGTGAACCAACTCTTTTACCAGAGCCAAATCATGTTATGTTAAACCACTTATATGCCTTGTCAATCAAGGATGGCGTAATGGTTTTAAGTGCTACACATAGATATAGAAAGAAGTATGTTACTACTTTGCTTTACAAACCCATTTAACTGATTCTGTTTGTTTTGTCTGCAAATTGTTGCTTGTTTATTTTGTTTTTATAGATGTGAAATTTTTACAGTTTATCTTGTCATGTTGACTACGTAAATTTTGAGGTGTCATATTTTTAAGAAGCAATGTATATTTTATTAGTGAAATGTAAATATAGCTTTAAAAAAAATACAATAAAAACTTGTTCATTTATACGACTAATTTTGTTTAGTTTAATATTTTTTTTTAATAATTCATTAAAACAAAAAAAGCAATAAAGTACTACGGAACTTGTCTAAAATTTAATTCTTTAAGGGCCTTATGAGTGGTTTAAACAAATCGTTTTCGAACTAGGCAACCTCTTTTACAAAATAGCAAGAGAGGTCTGTTTAGTGCAGCTCCCTTGTAACAGTCTATAAGGGTAATATATTATAATGGCTATAGATTGTTTGGGTCATCTACTTGCTTATATATTAATTATACGTATAGTATCGTTTCATGAATTTCATTGACCAGGACGTAAACACTGCACGAACTAGCTGAAGAAATAAATTGGTAGCAATGTTGTTTACCCTTTTGCCTGACGAAAAATCAGCACAAAATCTAACCTGTGCCTCATTCTAACATTTTTATTTTATTAAGATTACAGTCATTCAAGTTGATAGCTTCATGTCTCATGAACATTTTTTAATTTGGGTTTCTTAAAAAAGTTATTTGAAAAATGTTATGCATAAATTAGTGAAAAAATGTTAACTTTTACGCAAAAAGTATTGTTCTTGTATATTCAATAATTTTTCTCAATATTTAATGCGAAATATGCGTATAAACAAGTAAAACCAATTTTTTGGCAGGTAGGTAGATTGCAAGAGTTGGAAGAGTATCTTAATGGCCTACAATGCGCTTCTTATAAATTAAATTTTCGTTTCTGTTTTTACAAATAAAAAACGTTTCTCATCTGTCTAAAAGTTACTGAAACGGGATCGCTTATGCGAATTAATTAAACATAATTCCTTCTGCGCGACACGTTACATTTACGCGGATTTCACTGCACGCCTCGTATCATTATTGAAATAATTATTCTATATTCCTTATCAAGTAATATCATTTATTAACACATGAGACTATACAAATTTCATTAAAAAAATGAATAAAAAACAACTATAAAATGATGTTTTTTTTTCGTTCGATTTTTTATAATGTCTTATTTGTTAATAAATATTATTATTTGATAAGAAAAAAATAGAATAATTATATATAGGACAGAGAAAAACGGAACGAGGCACGGAAAGAAGGCGTGCAATGGAACATGCGCGCC